TTATATATAGATATATATTAATGTGGACATGGAGGTAACTAGATATAGACAGACCAAGACATTTTGAGAAAACGAGCAAGTGAGAGAGAGGGGGAGAGAGAGGCCCTCAAAAGAAAATTGAACCGAAAGACCATCTTACCTCGTCAAGAGCATCCTCTAGAAAACCAGGCGAAAGCTGACGCTCCCGGCGGATAGGTTGCGTATACTTACGGTTTACCTTCTCCTTCTTACGGCTAAGAAGTTCATTAGCTTTAATTGATTGATTAACAGCCTATGAAGACAACAGATGTAAGGTGAGAGTCCACCTAACCTTACACACAATGCCAAAAAACTGATAACTAATATTACCTTCTCTCTTTTATCTTTCTCCATCTCGGGGTCGATCTCAGTGATGCAGTTCTTGACTTTGTAAACCTTTTTGTGACGCGAGTCAACAAGGGCAGTTAGTAAACGATGAGAATTTGAGAGCAACGAGGAGGGCATAAACCTCATTTTCGTTAATATCCGCCCCTGAGATTGGAGAATACCCTGTAAAGATGGAAAAAGAGTATGAACTCCTTATAAGCCAAAATTTGACCATAATAATTGATAAGAATACATGCATTCATTCAAAGATTAAACATCACAGGTCTCGAACACCCACTAGATAATTCTTGTAAACAGTCATTGTAAGGATGGCGCTGTACAGCAAGTACAACGGAAGCCTCACCTTGCCATGACTTAAAAAAAGGTGTGTTTGTTCATGTTGAGCATCTTGCTTAGATATATCAAGCACTTCATTTCCAATAAGTAACTGCAGGCTTCCATCTGACCACTCCACGAAGCGAGCATTGCTCTGAACCTAGATAAAAGTTCCAATTTACATGAGAAAACAACCAAGCCAAACAGTTAGAAATTCTACAAAGGATATTACCTTAATTACAGTACATTGAGGAATAAGCAATTCCCCCAAAAGAATGCAAAGTCAGGCACTCAGGAGTAATCAATGAGATAGAGGCATCAAAGATATTCTAGACATGGCAACATTTGAATGATGAGGTTTGCCAAACAAAATATGTGGTTATGTGCTTACAATTTGAATTGTGGAACAAACAAATACGATAAATTGTCTGAAATTTACGCAACAGATCATGTTAATGAATGTGCCGGAACATATAGTATGCAAACTTAATATTTACTATAGGAGACTTACAAGCTCAACAGTCACAATTGACTTTCTTCAGTGTTCTATATGGGAAACTAAATGAGCTATGAAATATACATGTGATTTAAAAAAAAATGTGGACATATATGGCACCTTCAGGTCAATCTTATAGGCAATATTAATAAAATAACCAGTCAAAAACTAATGCAGGACCACACAAAGAAATATTCAACAATAGTTAGGAAATCAATCAACACACATATCTGAGTATGGAAGGATATCAATGTGATGTGTGAGAAAACAAGATGCAAAATGCATCAGCAGATTCACTTACAGATGTTGTGCCGTTTGGGTTTTTAACCTTCCTCCACCTAACAACATTGTTGTCCAGCCGTATTCGCTTTTTTGATCCAGATTCGTCAGGCACATAAACATCCTTATCCACGTACTTGTTGGGGTCGAAAGGTTTACGATCTATGCCCATTATATTAGAAACTTTGATCATGTTCATCTGCAATAAATAACTTTATTATCATGATATCTACAGTCATGACTATATTATATAATGTCTCCTATTTCCAGCTAAAAACTAAATTTCTATCTAACACCAACAAAAATGCAGCCTTAACGTATACAGCCACCATATAAGGTGTCCATCCACTTCAGCACATTTTAATATAGGTAAAACATAAACCAATTACACGGCATTCTCACAACTAAATCGGTCCCAGGGATGAGAAACATCTCATTCATAATGTGAATGAGGCGTAAATTGCAAATTAATTTAAATCAAAATGCACATTAATGACCAATTGACTGTCTCTGTCCCAACATAATATTAACTGCTCGTGTATAGGTGCTAAAAAGAAGACAGAACCAGACACAAACCTTTTCAGATTCAGCTGGAGGTGGCTGCAGCGGAACTTCCAACTCCAATGGGGGACCAACTGGTTTCTCCTTAGGCTTAGCTACTGTCTGATCTTCTTCAGAGTAATATGGAGCATCTTCATCAGGAATAATATCCTCCGGCCTCAGTTCTTTCTCATAATTCATGTCTTCATTGACGGGTGATTGCTGCATCAGGTGGGACAAATATTTCAGCAACACTACATATAAAACAAAACTGTCAACGCGACATTGCTAGAAAATTTGTTATTGTTCCAATAACATTTTTATATGAACATTTTCATCTTCTTCAATCTCATTATGAGTTTCATATGCAGCTTGTTCTTCATCCTCAGAATCCCCAAAAACATCACGAATCTCTGGAGCTGAGTTCAAATATTGATCTTCATCATTTTCTTGGGCAGGCGATTTACTGCAATTCGTTACATCCAGTCAATAAAACTTGAAACATGAATGATAGAGGGAAAATATGAAGTGTAAATTTGTAAACAACCAATAGCTTCGTATCCAGAATATCTACATACTATCCAGAATTTTGCACGGACAATTAATTTATTTAGCCTGATCAGACACGTCTAGCAGCCAACTCTCAGTGTCCACGAATCATATAGTCAAGCAGCATAAATCATGGTTAAATAACAGCTTCTCCACAGATTGCTGAAACAAATATGCATATTATATCAATGATAAAGAGCTATAAAAATAAAACCAAACATGCAAGGCATATAAGTTTAAAAAATAGGTATCTACACACATTTGCTTCTGAATATTCTCTGAGCTACCTCATTCACGAACAAAGCCAAATATAAAGTATCTCCATTGATTCACATTGACAGACCAAAACTTTCCTGCTTTGATAGTTATCCAACAATAATGGGCATTCATATATGAAAATGCAAATTTAATACGCAAGATAACAAGCTACATCAATTTCTCCTAGTTTCTCCTAGGGGTTCAAAAATAGAGGAGGGGAAACTAGCAAACGACCTGGGACTCCTAGCATGATTAACTTCGTCGTTCTCATCAGCAGCATAATTGCTCTCCCCAGAACCTTCTGATTCACTTATAGCTTCATCATGCCCTCTGCTTGTTACAACTTGTTGATCATGCTCCTCTTCATCACTTTCCAAGTACCTTCCTTCACTTTCTTCCTTCTGATCCCCAAATTCAACTTCTTGAGGACTGTGATCTCTCTCACCCTCACTCTCCCCATGTATATGATGCAGGTCCTGAGGTTCACCCTCATCTTCAATTGCTACTTCTCCCTCACCTTCATCTTCTGGTTCTCGTGCTCCATCCCCTTCATCCTGCCAAAAATAGTTAGCATAAGAGCATTAGAACTAAAATAGAGGTAAAAGCAGGGTCAATTATCTAAGTTCATGATACCCATTTGAAGCCTGTCACACATCCTACAAATTTATGACTGTAATCAAAAATAAGAAAACTAGCAACAATGAATACGAAATACTTATACAGCAATCCCAGAGAGTATTTGTATGTAGTATGTACCCAATACAGGCATATGCACATTTTTGTCGGGAAAAAAGAAGTGAAGGCCCATAAACCTCTTAATCCTCAAAACGTTACAATAGTCCTCTTGAATGAAATCCATGATTTACCACATGCTTACAAGCTGGGCAGCAATGCAACAACAGGGAAATGGCTAATTCTCCACACTGCAGTATTTATGAGTCAATGATCTGATCATGCAATTGCAAACGTCAAACCTACCGAACTCATCATGTATGCAAAACTTCATTGAAGTGCTGGTGCTGCAATTATAATGTGACTTTAAATTCCAAATCCAGTTTAGCTTGCGATTTGAAGGGCAGGATGAATCAGATAAACACAAATGAGGTTGATTCCTCAACGAGAAAAAAGGTAAAGTCATTGCTCACTACATAGAAAACAACACCCTCACAATTAAAGATAGATATATAAAAATGGTAAAAATATTTCAAAATCCAATCCTTCCAACAAATATGAACGGGATCATAAACCCAGTGGATCCAGTACGTTTCAACAAATTTGTGTAGAAGCATCTCTCATCACCACAAACAACAATAACAATAGCAACATAAATAACCTGCAATTACAGTAGCAACAAAAAATTGGAGAACAAAAAAAAATCATGCATACAGAAGCATAATCAGGCCGACGATTGGACTCGTGCTCGGATTCGACCTCCTCTTCCTCTTCTTCCGACTGGTCGCCGAACAAATTCTGCATCATTTGATGCCTCTTCTCTTCCCCGACCATCCTGTGCGTGAATTTAGGCGCCTGCTATAGACCGTGCGAGATCGCAAATTTGAAGTCCCTGGAGAATGGAGCTCGGGCTGAGGATGGTGAATTCAATTTGGAAAGTAAAAACGCCAGAAAATTGTGGATTAGGGTTTCTTTTGCTTTCTCAGGAAAGGGGAAATGGGGAATTACAGATTAGCCATGTTCACAGTAACGCTCTCCTGCCTGAAGGCTGCCGGAAATTATAATTATTATATATATTAAAAAAATGTATTATAAATTTAACATAATAACTACAGTTGACTTTAAATGATGAAAAATATTTTTTGCACTAAATTATTGTCCGTTTCGTAAGTTTGCCTTGGATCAATTTGAACCGGAAATACCACTAACTAGTGTTGAGCTCGAGCTTTGATGACCTACATTATGTCGGGGTATACTAGTGAATGGGACGGTGGAGCCTTGGGGATGCCTTAACCCAAAATGGTTGAAAGGCGACCCCCACCTCCCCAAGGACCAATAAAGCAGCGGTCTGATCGAGGAAGCACACGAGCAGGTCGAGAGATCTTACTCGACTTCATAATCCACTAAATATTTTGTTTTTATACTTATAACCAACTTATCTTGACTCTGAGTCTGGGTTTGGTAATCTTATTTTTGGCGATTCATGCAATATTTAAGATAAGCATTTTTCTTCCATCAATCAATTGCGCTTGCTTACATATGAATGCTTTTTCAACGAGCTCTTTTATTCTTACTTTAGCATTTGAGCTACTTGTAACAACAAATTTTATGAAAAAAAATATAAAACTTTTGTACAACTTTATTTTATTCCGATCAAATGATATTGCGGGGTATAATCTCTATATGGAACCCTCTGATCCTTTTCAATACATAAATGTACTAGTGCAACTAATCAGTTAAGACAAACTGAACCGTTGACACTACAACCGTTTACGATTGGGTGTTCATGTCCATTTAGGTTATGAACCATTATTCTTGTTTCGCAAGTAACTGATAGAATAATCTTCGGTTCGTCCGATGACGATTTACTCTATCTAAGTGCAAAACAACATAATATAAAACTTGTATAATCTACCATGATTCTCATTCATAAAGGGTAAAAGTGTAATATCATCAAAATCTAAGCTTTTAGTATATAACACTAACACTTGTACCCCGTCTTAATGCATTATTTGATCTCGATTCCTTGTTTCGAGACCTCTTGGCTTTCGATTTTTCCATGTTAATATACTTATTACACCTAGACTAGATAGCAACTCGTCAAAAGACCTTGCTGGCATCTTTGCCAACAAATTTTCGCATGAACTTGGTTGAAGACCTCTGGCAAGACATTATGCCATGATCTCCTCAAAAGTCGAGGGAACCTCCATGCACTCCCTAGTATAACGAGCTACGTGCTCGAAGAGTCTCTCTCTCTCTCTCTCTATTTGTTGCATACTTATCAGTGCCAGGTAGGTTATATGTTGCGTTCTCGTGCTCAATAATTGATTAATATATTATAGAGCTAAATCTCTAAAAAATGTAGATCGACCCGGCCGAAAACGGGTGAAACTAGTCTTGCGCAGACCCCTTCTACGTGGTAAGTAAAACTCTTCAACAAATAGCATCACTATACCTGTGGATAACCATTGTGTTTTTGAATTCCTCAAATGTCTGACTAGATCCATCGAACTGTCATAAGACAAACTTAGTTCGCAAAGATCATTTGGTAAATCTACCTCTTGAACCTCCAATGCAAGCGAATGACCATGGATTTGAGATGCTACTCTGCCCTCGATCCGGGCCTAAAGCTCCCGTAGCTGGGCTGCCAACCTTTTAAGCAAAACATCCCAAGCTGGTCGAGATACAATAGTGGGTGATGACGTTGATCTTGCCACCTCTTTCAGTCTTTTATGAGGATGTGGTTGCTGCACCACATGATTTGCCTGGCTAGGCACCCGAGCTCGAGTTACTGCCTCGACCACAATTCTATCCAGTTATGTTTCCGTAAGTTGGATAATTTGGTCTCTTCGAGGGTCCTCATCCTCCCCCAGACTCAACAACTTCCCAGTTACCTGCTCTTGAGGTCGATTAACCAATGAATCCTCTTGTTGCTGCACTTTCGTGCCTCGAGCTGCTACCTATTATTGCACATCTTGAACCTCAATCTCCTGCAGGACGACTCTCATCTTATTCTCAAAGTGCAGAGTCTGAGTATGTGGAAGAGCAAAAACCACAGAAAGGCCCAACATGGGTTTTCGCCCTAGGACTGGAGCATTATGGAAGATCGTGAGTTCCCGAAATCCCCTGAAGATCCATCGGGGGTCAGCACTCTAAAAAAGCAAGAACCTACGGGGACTAAGAACATCTCCAATGCTCAAATGTTGTTGTGGTAAATTACATTTCACGTCAACATATTTAGTAACGACACCATTTTTCATTCTTCACTGCACATTGTGATTACAAATGTTGTGATGACGTGGACATAACTAATGTCTACAATGTGGAGAAGAATGCGATTCATCCACATTCTCCTCCACATTCTAGCTAACCAATGAAAAGAAGATAAAGATTATTGTTACCAATTCCAAACTATTTAATTATTAATATTCTTACTACATATTATAAAATATTAATATTTGGTAAATAGATAATATTACAGTTAGACTACATTGTGCATTGGAGATAATTTTTAATTTCATAGTTTTAAACTTAATGTTTTTCCTACATGGTTCACATTCCAATTGTCAGAATTTATTCAGTAACAATATTAGAGCATTGGATATGCTCTAATAATCATCCACATGTTGGTTAAAATAATTTACTATTTTTAATAATAAACTTGCTCAATGATTTGAAAAAAAAATGACAAATTAAAAATAAAATATCATTTAATATGACTTTATGATTAGTTACTAATAGTTATTATGTAGTAAAAATATAAAATAAATAATATAATTACTTGATTGATACAAAATATCATAAAAATAAAAGGAAAAGGGAAAGAGTTTTATTCAAAGTTATGTCTACATTAATATATAGTATGGATTATGGAGGAATTTTTACTAAATACTTAGGGCGTGATTGGATATGAATCAACTAGTAAAAATGGTTTTTTTTTTTTTTTTT